CAATAGTTTCATTTCAAATTATAGCGACACCCTTAATGCTTGATCAGCTTCTTCTCCAATCTCATCTAGTTCTGCTTGAAATCTATCCATTTCCGCTTTTTTCTTCCTCTCCCCTCGCTGTCTATAGGCGCCCTGAAGTTTGCTCGCCGCCACATCAGCCTCATCACCGATTTCAGCTAGCTCCGCAGCAGTTAGAAGTAGTAGTAGAACCTAGACCTAGCATTTAATTGTAGGTAAGTAACTGTGACTTTCTCTATGTATTCTTGTTCGGAAAGATTAAGATTGCACATGATCCACTAAAAACAATTACAATGCCATCATGTAAGTAAGATTGATATTGATCTAGTTAAGTAGTTAGTATTACTATTACAAAGTAGATGTAGACCTCTCCTTCGCTCATTCATCATAATTCAAATCTTTCCATTTCGGCAGCTCGTTGTTCTTCCTGATGTTCCTCGACAAGGCGTTGTTTTTCTCTGCCTTCTCTGTCGTGGAATGCCTTCCACGCTAACTCCAAGGTGCCATACCGACGTCCGGTTTCCAAACACACATACCTGAAGAGTACACAGATTTGAAAGTTTACGAGGACCATATTCTTCTACTAAATTAAAGACAATAGACATAGAAAATACGAAGATCATACTCCAAGGTCAACACAGTAAGAAATAGAATACGCAGAATATCCAGGCCTCGACCGTGAGGGAATAGGTTCGAAGCCAGGCGGTGCATGTAGTGGCTTATTCTCTTTGTCATACTCTGGTGCCGGTGGCGCCATCGTCCGCTCACTACTAGCCACCGCAAGAACGCTACTAGCGCCCTCCCTAGCCGCATTGCCTTCACTACCACTTGCAGGATAGTGGTTAGAGGAAGAGTTTTCTAGTTTGTGGCATAAACGACGTGCACGGTTGTCGAAGATACAATTCGATCTAAAAACAACAGGTTGGATTATACTTACTGCTCAGCTCTAGAACCAGCAAAAGCTTCTACTTCTTCTACGTAGATTGTCATGTCCTGGCACCTCTTTCCTAGCATTTCGCATCTATATATGTTCCAGGGGGGGGGAGCCTCCACCCCTGGAACATATTTATATGCTCGTTAGATAACTTACTTAATCTCCTCCATAATAGTTGTGGCGGAGCAGACCTAACTAGAAAAAAGACAGACCAATGGAAGATAGAAAAGAGAAAAGGGTAACTATAGTTAAATATTCTATTCTCCATTATGCTCGTTAGATATTCTATTCACTTAATCGCCATAATAGTTGGTTGCAAGCCCTGAGACCGCCGCCTTCGATTGTAGACCTGCCATGCGGCCTTCAACTCTCCATATTTCTTGCCGCTCTCTGGATCAATGAAGACTACATGCCCCGCTCGCGAGGTTGAAGCTGGTGGTGTCGTGAGTGAGAATGAATGTAAAAAGAGCTTCAAGTCGTCCACTTCTAGAAACCCCAGATCTTGAATAATTATGGGTTAGCTTAGGATCAAAAGAGGTAAATCGGAGTCCGAAACGGAAAGAAGGTGGAAAGAATCATGTCTAATATACTACCCTTTGTCATCCATCCTGGCGGTGCCTGATCAGCGGTCTCATCTCCTCTAGTTCTGCGCTCATAGACCTTCCATGCCTGGCTCTTACCATATTTCCCACCCGTTTTCTTGACTTAGAAGGAGGATGTGGATCATTAAGAAGTACTCCCGAGTTGTCTCTGATCTATTTAGTCCACAAAGCGTGTATTGTTGGAAGGGCTAAGTCTCTAGAGGTGAAACTAACCGGTTGTTCTATTTTGTGCTTTGAGCGCCGCTAACCGGTTGTTCTATTTAGTCCACAACTACACATGTAGTTGAGAAAGATGGATTTTCATTTTCTCAAGCCGTAATTATCTATATAAGCAAATTCGCCTGGTCGACTGGCCGATGCCACTTGCTCAAATCCTGGCGGGGCACCCTCTTTCGACGACTCCCGTGCAGACACAATAGGAGGTAGGCTGTCGGCCTGGTGGAAGTAGTTTGTGGTGGAGAGATGCAGACGCGGATGGTGAAGGTGATACGACCAAAATTCAATGGCTAAGAAAGTAGAACTAGAGTTTCTCTTACATCATGTCAAGGATGTTAATGTTAGTTTCCTTTGCAAAAAGAGCGAGGGGCTTCGTTGTTTGTAATCACGTAGAACATACAAACATTTTCAATAAAAGACCCCCCTAAAAAAAAGTGTAATTACCTGTCTTCCTTCCACCTCTCCTGCCATGTTGTTAGGGCCAAACGAGTTTCGTCTTCGTTCGTCGCTCAATGGCGCTAAGGGTAATCTCTGACTTATTGGGGATCTCGCCAATTCGTTATTTTCTTCTTGATTAGAGTCAGCATTTATTCGTGTCGGTCACCACATCCCGACCCCTTTGCTTTCCCTTGTACTTGTTCTTCAAAGGGAACAAAAGGGCGGCGAAGAGATGCTGAGAACAATATTAAAGATGGACACTACATGTTGACCATAACTTGGGACAATTTTCGGTCGTGGGCTTCCCGACGCCTTTTCTCCTCAACTGCTATTGAAACGTTCTCACTGCTGTCACTGCTCAGCCCTTCCAATTGTCGCTGCACGTGGAAGTCTTTGCTGTAGCAGATGAGCTCGTCTAAATCAGCGCCGTAGATGCTGGACAGAATACTGTCAGTGAGGTAGTTTTTGTTAATCTTTTCTTCAGCTACCTGGTGTATACCACCTATACCTACTCCTACACCACTTTCTTCAACGGTAATCGTGTGACGGGTCGCTAGTAATTCTGCTGCCTGGAGGTTTTGTTTTTGAAGAGTCTCTTGGGGTACTACGGGTAGCACTTCTGCTCTGGTGGGTTCTTGTGGTGCTACTTCTTGGGTTAGAGCTCACCCTAATCCATCTCGAGAAGCATCCCGCTTCCCTGTTCTCCTTGAGTAGAGTCCATTTGGGGATGCTTCAGAATATGGATTAGGAGAAGCCATAATTGGAAAGCAGCGTGGGGAAATTGAGTTTCTCCTATTACTGGAGGTACTGGCTCTAGCTCAATTGCAAGTGGCTCTTGTTGTAGTGGGTCGACTGGAAGATGCGACTCCTCTAGCTCAACTCCAAGTGGCTCTTGTTGTAGTGGCTCCACTGGAAGATGAGACTCTTGTACTGAAAGATACTCTACTTGTACTGAAGGCTCCACTTCTACAGGAAGAAGAGGTTGACCAGTTGTAGTCTCTTCTGGCGCACGGTCTCGATCTTCCTTATGATGAATATGAAGATCTACTTGATGTTGCGCTTCCGGCGTACTAAGCGTCTGCGTATTAGAGCTATACAATACAAGACAATACAATACAATTAATCTCGCGGTCTGATGAAGTAACTCCTCAGAAAAGTTGAGAATGACCGGTGTCCATCGTGGAACTGAATTAGAATTATATTACTTATATATAGAAGTTGAAAGAGTTGTCCGTCGTGGTCCCTGATCTTTTGCGCTTGAAGAGGAAGTTGTGCATCAGGCTGTGGCAAACACACTCACGCTCAGGCTCATCTCTCGTAGGTTACTTATATTATAAATAATACTATACATCGTCCACAAGCACAAGCCTTAATAGAAGTAGGGGGTTGTTCTTGAGTAGTAGGTTGTTCTTGTTGGACCCTTGATATCGCTGTCTCTCGTTGTTCTTGTTGGTCCCTCGATATCGATGTCTCTCGTTCCCTGTGGACTGTCCACGCTAGCAATACAGTCCCGTACTTCTTCCCGGTCTGAGTGTCCTGGTAGCAAATTTCTCCCTGCCTAGAGCGCGATGGCACTATCTTGAAGCCTGTGATTTGGACTCTATTAATTAGAAGTTGTTTCCCAGATGTGATCGTAGTATGGAAGTAGACCTTGTTTCTAGTTCTACTGCTGCTTCTGCTCCTATCCGATTCGAGTTTAATATTGTTGGATGTTGGAGTAGGATAGGAATTGACTCGCCGTTGGAGTTAGAGCAGTTGGACTGTGTTGAAAATTCAAAAAAAAAGTAGTAGTACCTGGCGGCAACGCCTCAGACGTAGAAAAAAAGTGAACAATATGTAGAAGAAGTAGTACCTGGCGGCAACGCCTCAGACGTAGTGGCCATCCTTTTCTGAGTGACCCGTCATCAGAAACTAGGCCAACATCATGATAGAGAGAGTAGGGAGAAAAGTTTGCAGTCGCACGTGCTGGAGGGACGTCGTCATTACACAAGTTGTCCTCATTTCACGAGTTGTAGTTCGATTCTCCAGCTGAAGACTACACGAATACCCATTCAGAATGATTGAAGATTTTGATTTAGTTGCTGAGGTATTGAGTTGGACAGTACGCACTGACTTGCAGTGCTGTAGTAGCAGTGTAGTAGCACTCCTGTAGTAGTAATGTACAACTTGATTATGCTGTTCTTGTTGCCCTGTCTGTGTGTGCTTACGGTTACACCGTGGTTATCTAAATTTGTTTCTCGTCTACAGAATGTTTTTTTGATGAATCTTGGTATTATTTTCCTAGTATGTTGGAAGAAAGTCAAGGAAGTTCTTTGCTGGAAGAAAGAAGCCAAGTACCGCTTAGTAACCTTAAGCCATATTTATTAGCTATGTAATGAACAAGAAGAATCTTCAAAGGGTCTTGGCTAATTAGAGTGGAAGTTAGGAACTGTGTGACAGACGTCGATACCGATCGTTTTTCTGACAATACGCAAGACCGATCCATTGCAAGCTTTGGTCACCATCGACCGATGTACTCTCCACGACTCCAACACCGATCTTTGCACCATACAGATTGTTGCACCGATGGATCACTGTTGCTATGTATCGTAAATTGTTCTGCTGACGATGTTTCACATGTTCGCAATTGGCCAGTGACAGAAGCAGAACTTGTTATTGTTGAGATCTTGATCTTTTTGGTGAATAGTAGCGAACAGACTTCCAAACCGACAAATGATCCTGACGAACACACGACCCTTATGGAGCTCTGTGTTTTCACAGGAGAGGATCGGATGCCTCTATGAAGCGATCCTCTCCAGCATGGCCAGACCATCTATATAAGCCTCCCTCCCTGGTACATATATAATGCTCAATGGAGTAGACGCTGTTTATTAGTTAGATTCTAGTCAGACTATGTTTAATTTCACACCACCTGGTGTTGTAGTATTAATATTGTAGGCATGGCCAAAGTGATTATATATAATGTGACACCTGTAGTATTGAACTACACGATTATGATGGTGATCCCACTGTTCACACAGCACTACCATGTATCGACCCACTTTTTTTGACTCCTTCAAAAAAGGCTTGAAAATCGTTAGATGTTGGGGCAAATGCGAAAAGCTCTTCCGCTTTGTGGCGCAGTCGTTCTCGTACTCTATTCCCCAAGCGCATATCCCATCCCCAGTCGCCTCTACGCAATGCACGCATGTTCGAACAAAAAAAAACAAAAAAAAGTTTCATGATTTCTTCATTGATCTTGATGTTGTCGAAACCTCCCTCCAAGCTGTAAGAGTAAGACAAAGTGAGTCACAGTTCGTTGTATCAAGAGCTAAGTATTCGAAAAACTGAAATAACCGAGTAACTATTGAAAATAAGGGAGATACTGAAAGAAGAGGAACGTAGTCAAGACTCTCTTATTTCAGTCAGTAGCTCGCTTATTTTGAGTTTTCGAATACCTGTAAGATGACAAAGAATCAATCAGCACAACAATAACTACGACCATAATATTGCTCTTTGCTTTCTCGAATACGGTGCTTTCTTTCTGTAGGATCGCACCTGCACGCACGTAGGCCAACACCTGTTCCACATCACAACGCTGGTCGAGCCACCACGCAACGAATTCCGTGTCGGCTAAAGGACAAAAGCTGTTCAACTCAAATTAGAGCTCTCCGCAAATCATCTTTCAGCTGTGCATCCCTGGAAAATCTGGCAGAGTCAGTATTCCCTTGTCGTACTCTGGCAGAGTCAGTATTCCCTTGTAGTACTGACTCCCCCATCCGTTTCAAGGATGCAGCCAAGGACGAAGTAGCTACAGCCTTAATCGAAATCTATCGCATCTTGTGTTATGCTCTTGTCTTCGTACGTCGAAGGCGTTGGGAAATGTGCAACTAGTTCTCCTGTTGTACCCGTTGTACTAGTACTTGTTGCGCTTCTATTTCTAACGCCACCTGTTGAAGCTCTGCTACTTGATGAAGCTCTACTAGTAGTAGTACTGCTCAACGAAGAACTTGAACTACTATGCTTAATATGGTCTGATGTAAGCACTTTATTCATCCCTAAAAGGTTGCCACTCACAACGAAAGGTGCCAGATATTGGAGGAGAGGGCTTCCGGTCATGCTCATGCTTTTGCCACTAGTATTAGAGCCTACCCTAATCCACCTTGAGAAATTCATCTTGCAGTCGTTTTCCCCTTATGGGACAATCCTGAGATGCTACTGGAGATGGATTAAGACAAGCCTTAACACTAGTACGTAAACTACTACGGCCCAGCCAATGCGGAGAGCTCTCCCGCCAAGCATTCCTGAGGTACATCGCAAATTTGTCGATGTCCTTTTCGAATACCTCCAAATCAGGAGGCTTCTTAGAAGAAAGTGTAAAAACCCGCATACCTCCTTGTTCAATATTTCGTGGATCCATAGGGACCAGCTATCGTAATCTCGTGGAATATAGAGGTCCAGAACTACGCAAGTACAGACTAAATATTCAAACAAGCGCACACCCTCAGTCAGTTCCTCCCCACCCAATCCCAACCGTAACTTTTAAATCTGCATAGAGCGCAAAGAACATGCTAGGCGGCTGCGCTACTTCCAGATAGTGTTAGAGGTTGCGACACTGCACTCTTCAGAACATCCCTGACTGTGCCTTCTTTCTTATGGAGGATGAAAAGTAGAGTCAGGGACGATTTTAGTGCAGAACGCATTGATTGGAGGCACTAACTTAGGATGAAAAAAAATGTTGAGGGAAATAACTAAAAACCGGTTATTTTTCTTACAGTCAGAGACGTTTTATCTTTGTGGGAACCCTTAATAGTGATACGGATCCCGAGAGCAGGACGAAAGGACTTCTAGGCTTACTGGCGTTCGGTCTAGAACGTGCAAAAAGCACAAATCCCGCAGGAAGGACTCGCATGTCCCAGCCATCTCTTAGAGATACCGAGAACCCATCTTTCTGAACATCTTTTAGCTCTGTACAAGTGGAAAGGGGCTAACAGATGTTGTACAAGATGGGTTCTTGCCAGTACTACCCGTAAATTTCGCTCAAAAGAGCAGGAAACTCAGCTGCGTCTCGGGGACGGGGACTAGCAGCAGTATAATCGCCGGTGTTCTTGATGGTCTTTCTATATTCTTGTGCAGAGGTTGTGGGAGAGACGCCAGGTTGTAGACTTCTTGTATCTTGACGTTCTCCAGACAAATCATGCAATGCATGCCCACTCAAGTTCAGAAGCATTTGCACTTCTTGCGGGAGTAAGATCTTCTCAGCAGCGAAACTATGAGGAGGAAACTCCGTATGCAGTACTGCGTGTCCTGGAGCTAGAACGTCGACTCTTGGCAACGCTCGATCGGACAAGGAGGTAAAGGAACTAGAAGCGCCTCTGGTGAAGAGGTTTGTGGTTAGAAGAGGAAGATGAGGATGAGGAAGAGGATGATAAGGACGTCTGACTCTGATGACAAGGTGGACGTCGAAGTTATTTTTCAGAATGGACCTCTTCCTGGTACGTAAAAAGCATCTTCTACCAAGGCCCGTACAGAATCGCACTCCTCTGAAGTTTCGCAAGGTGACTTGTTGTTGAGCCCAGACACTTCCCACCTCAAGACGACCTTCAATCCCTATTATTTGTCCCGAAGAATTATTCACCCTATTTCTGTCCCCAAAAGATCATACTTCTCAACCTCTACTCAATCTGCACCTCTGTCCTTAACTTCACGATACTGCAAAGACCCCTGCGCGGCTTCTTTCCTCCGTAGCACTTTACATAGATAAAGCCCAAGGACCGTTCGCCGGTTTTGGGAACAGGTAATCCATACCATGCTGCGCTCTGGGCGTCCACGCCAACAGGTCCAAAATCCAAGACGTCGTCATCGACTATCCTAGCCTTTGCAGTAGCTTCGCCTTTCTTTAGAGACTGTTACAAATACTAGAAAACAAGATGATCTTCCTTACCAATGCATCCTTAGTTAAGGTTGTCAAAAGCAGGTGCGTTTATGTCATGTCATGGTGCCTCTTGTGTAGCTAATATTAGCGTCTACTTGCGAGGCCAACCAGTAATCTAGAAGTACCTCCAGGGGAGCGCTAAAATGCCGGTGTAATGATATTTGTGTTGAGTAACCACAATCACAGACAAGTTGTGAAGAAACATTTTTGAGATTTTAAGTAACTGCGAGGCTAGTGGGCCATGACGACGAGACCGTGGCCGGAAGAAGAAAGAGAGTCCATTCACCTAACGAAAACAATAGTCACAGCCATATAACCTTGTTAACCTTAGATAATCACAGCCACATAATATCTTCATTTGATGTCATTCAGAAATGGCTATACAACAATCAGAAATAGTACACCCCAAGTAGTCATAAGCCCTTATCCTTGTAGCACTTCTACCTTGTCGATGTCATAACTCGTTCTCTTTGTTTGTCGTAACGTTTTCCAAGACTTGGAAAACCATGTAATTCGAAAACGTATCCCAGCCCGTGATATACCAAGACAACAGAGAAGCGTAGACGGATCTCGCCAATCTCGTTAGAGCCAGCCGCTATCTATGTATTCGATAAACTAAAATAAGCGAGTAACTAGTGAAAATAAGGTAGATACTGAAAGAAGAGGAATGTAGTCAAGACTCTCTTACTTCAGTCAGTAACTCGCTTTCGCATATTTTAAGTTTTCGAATATGTCGCCCCCCCCCATCTCCTCGACACCTTACTTTATTGCCTCTGTAATGGGAGAATCCTTCTCCCCACGCGCGTGACGGATTTCCTTGGTCAATTCATACTAGGAATAATCGAACAGAGCGAAAGGGTACTGGTACCAAGATGCTCAGACCTTGTATGTTTCTTTACTCCTTGTTGTTAGTGCCTGTTGTAGCAAGATGGAAAGGCATAATCTAGGACTGGCGACCTGAGCGATACGTAGGCCGTACATGTCTCCCATTCGAGCCATCAATCTCGGCAACACCCGTCGAAAAGGCAAGTGTTGAGCTAGCTTTTCATCGTTTCTTAGACGAGGTAGCAATCTTCCCATCTTGATATTGTAGAACATCTGCGATCTCCACCACCTAGTGGTCCTAGCTGTTTATGATTATGTTCCAACCAAGAAGTAAAAAAATAAAAGCCAATAAAAAAAGATGTAGTTCAGAAGGATGGAGGGTTGACATAATCATCGGATCCCTTGGAAGGTTGAACAAGTTGGTATAAATCTTGACCCGGTCCCGTAAGTTTCCGTACTTGCGCAAGCGAGAGCGGTAAAAACGCGTGTCGTAGGAGAAAACTGGTGCATCTCTCGCTAGACCTGTAAAATTTCCACTATCAGCCTGCATCAATTCCATATCTCTAGTAAAATCTGTGATATGAGCACGACCTGCAGTTTGCAGATCCTTCAAGAATCGTCTGGCTTCCTCCACACAGCCTACACTCAAGCCAGCCGTCTCTTGTTCGGCCCACGAGCTAAACCCACGCGCGTTCGCTAGAGACAGCCTTGCTTGCAGTAGTTTCAGCAATTTCCTATTCTTAGAGGTTGCAAAATTACATTCCTCAGAACATCAACATCTTTGGCCTTTTTTCTACTAGCAAATAGGCCAAGAATGAAGATTGGTAGTAGTGAGGGATGTAGTTATTTGGTAACACTTAATATACAAGTCTCCACTCAAAACAGTGCTTTTGTGCCAGTGTTTCAGGACCTTCAACCGTGCAGCTGGATCCTTCAAGTAGCGTTGGCAGAGGCTCAAGTTCATTTCGTCTAATGGTACGCGATAATTAAAGGCCAACATTCATTGGTCTCCCAAGAAGGGGTCTCCTCTTTGATGCCAGAGACCAACGACCCCAATGACGAATGAAAGCTGAGCCTTAAGATAAGTGTTTGCTCTCTTATCCTTTTTCCAGAGAGCAGTGTGCTCTGGCAGAGCTCCAATATTAGATAGAGCTACCAGCAATCCATCTTAGCGCGCATCCTGGAACTACCCTGTTCCCCCATGTTTGTAAAGAAGAAGATGGACTTGACTGTGGTAGCCTTAACATTAGTTTCTGCCTCCGTAAGCGTCACAGCAATGTCTCTGCGAGTCAAAGTATGCTCAAAAGCCAGTCGCCAGTCGCGTAATGCTAGTTGTTCTTGAACGTAACATTGTTCTTCGACTTGTGGGTCTCGGGATGAACTTCTAACTTTTTGTACTTTTGATGTGCTGTGCCTGGTACTCGCGTTTCCTGTTCCAGCATGAAGTAGAGAATTATAACCACGACTACCACGACGACACCATCTCCGGAGCCAATCATGCCACCACTTTTTTGGTCCAAGGGAGACTGTACTATCGAACAAGCGTAGGGCGTGGAGATATGGATCATCAGCGACTGAAGACTTATCGGCATTAGCTGGTACCGCTGCGTTGTTTAAACCCTTTTTCACTCGCCAAAAATGTTTAATCCATGTCCAAGGAGCAGATAAATGACGCAGGTCAAGCAACTCTGTACGCGTAGTTTGGATTGGCAGTTGGTGGAGCTGGTGTGCTAGTCGTGTCCCACGATCAGTATTAATCTCTGAAGCACTGCCACTGCCAGATGAACCGCCAGACGAAGGGCTAGATCCGGAATTCGTGGTCGTCGTGGAAAAGGAGGCGAGGAGAGCACGAGTTGGCCCCGAGAGTGAGCGCCTCCTCACAAACGACGAGAGAGATGCAAAGCTAGAACTGGACGCCATCCTGTTCCTCTTTGTGAGTCGTGATCTATCCTCTCTGGTTGCCTATGCTCTAGCTGTTTCGGTGATATCTCTTAGAAGTCGTGAGCGCCGTATTAAAGCTTTGTTTTGATCTGGCAGCGCTAAAATCCACAGTAGACGAGATCCGCAATTTTGAATGTGATCGTTGCAAAGTAGAACCAACCGAATCCCCGGAACCTCTGCCGATCCCAAAACAATGGTCTACATGCGACTCAAAAGCCCTTGCGGTTGCGCAGCGAGAGAGACATCGCATAATCATGCCTAATGATCTTAGCCAGCAGCGGGCATTGTAGGAGTGGGGATGTTTGTAGGAGTGGGGATGTCTCAAAGTACTGCAAAACCATGCAAATGAATCTCCAATTGTAACCCTACTGAAGGGCTTCTGACACTTTGAGCGAAGCTTTGTATACTGAACTTGAGATACGAATAAGAGAAATGCAGTCGTATGATAGAATGCGAAGATCGAAACTCGAGACTATAATCCATATTACAAAATTTTCATTAGTACTTCTTCATAAAAAAATGTGTGTGAAGTCTGTTCATGATACATAGGTCGAAACCCTCTACCCCAGGTCCTTTCCCTTGCCTTTTTCAGCCGAACTTTTCGAGGCCTTTCCTTTCGTTGCACCCAGTGATGCTCCCTTTCCTTTCTTTCCTGCTCCCTTTGATTTCTTCCCCTTAGAGCCGCTTTGACACTTTGAACCGCTTTGAGTCGCAGTCTTTCCTCTACTTTTACCTTGTTGGCCCATACTTGTCTTTGTTCCGCCTTTGTGTGAACTAGTCTCTTGTGCCCGTATAGATCTTTCTGCGCTTTTGGCTGTGGCACTCCTGTGCTCGTTGTGCTCTTCCCCAAAAGGTATCTTCATATGCTGTTCAGATGAAAAGTTCAAATTCAAATTGTTCCTTGTTGTAGAAGAAGTACTACTAGTTGTATGCTCATTATGTTCCTCCCGCTTGCCCCACAAATCTTGGTCAGGTTCGTTCGAAAATCTTCTTCTAGGATCTTCAAGGCTGTTGAATGATGTTCTTCGACGATGAGAAGACAACTGCTGCTCTTGATACGAAAAAGTAGGTTCTTCTTGGAAGTCGAAGTCGCTATTTATCTTGCTTGACTTGTAATTATCGTCGCCCGGTCGTTCTAAACTTTTCTCTCTTCTATGCAGATGAGCAGAATACTGTTGTTCGTCACTGTCTGCCTGTCGATGCTGTAGTTCTTCTTTATCTTGTCCGTCGTCATCAGGTTCTCTAGTATGGTCGTGATTATATCTACTCGAACTTCGACTATGCTTCCGACGACCCGGCGTACTCCTTTGTCTGCTTGTCGATGATCTTGTCTGCCTGATGTGCTCACCTCTAAAGGATGATGGCCTTTTGGTCTTGCTAGAGAGGTCACCAGTATGACGTCTGCTTCTACTTCTAGAATCACGCTGCGTCCTACTTCTAGATCTTCGCCTGTCACAGGTATCGCCGTCATCATCGTGCTTCATTTTTTCCTTGGTAGAAGTAGCAGCAGTGGATGACTTTTTCGTTTGCTTTATTGAAGTAGTCTGTAGTCTACTTTCTTTCCTCTTTTTACTATTCTGCTCACAAGATGATGAAAGAGCACTATTCCCGTCACTTACGCCATCACTTGCCGCTCCGTTATCAACGTCATCTTTCTCCTTACTTCTCTTGCTCCTCTGCGTACTAACCTCTACTTTCTTCCTCTGATACTTCTTCTCTGATTCCTTCTGCTTATCCGACGCGTGGTCAGACAAACTTTCAGCTGTGCTAGTGCTTCGCTTTCTTTTTCCTTTGGAAACGTCTTCAGCACTTCTCTTTCGTTTTGCTTTCCTAGGATCTTCTTCATCACTTGACGTACTTGCATCTCTTAGAACTACCATAAAATCCACTCTGAAAGAACTCATCTTCTTGGTTCCCGTTTTCCCTGCCTCTAAAAGTAAAAATCAATGGGACGGACCAATATGCTGAAAGAGATGGATTTCTTGTGGCCATAAATCTTCGCCTTCTTCGACCTTGTTCGACTTCTCGTTCTTGGTCGAACCTACCTTTGCTCCTGCAGTACCAAATATACCCTTCCCGACACTCGCCAGAAGCGTCGGCAACTTCTTGCTCGAAGAAACCGAAGTCTGTGGGCGGATAGACGAGTATGTAGTACGTTGATTACTTTCTCAGAAGATGTAAAACACAAATAGACTCTTGTAATCAATCTCATCAAAAAAACATTTCAAAAAAAAATTTGATGCTTTCAGTAATATGAAAACAGTAAATAGATACCGCTTTCTTCTCCTTGTCTTTCGCTTTTTCCACACCTGCTTCGGAATTTGACTCTTCTGCAGAGCTCCTAGGTGTCGGTCCATCTTCCTCGTTTTCCGATTCGCTAGTAGGAGTTTTTCGCGTTTTTCCTTTCGTACCTTTCTCTTTTTTCCCGTTTTTCGAGTCTGAAGATTTCTTCTTATGCTTATCAGCCTTACCGCGTGAGCCTGGCTTACTCTTTTTACTGGATAATTCCTTGTGCTTCGTGGTGTCCTCTATTTTCTTATCCTCATCTGTTGTAGCTTCTTCATCCTCCTCATCGCTGTCTGCCTCTATTAGAGTCGGCTTTGCTTTATCCATCTCAGGCTCCTCATCTCGATCCCATTCCCATGAAGTACAGGGGGGAAGGGTATCGAGATGCTAAGACATTCGCCACATTGAGATTATCTGGATGGTCTTGTGCCTACAGATGGATAAAAGCTGACCTTAATTCTACATCTTTCTTCTTCTTCTTCGCCCTCTTTTTCTTCTTCTTCCCAGTGCAGCAGAAGCAGCAATAGCGGTAACAACAACCACAGCCGAATTTGCGGTACCAACAGAACGCGCCGATTAAATTAGAACACTCTTCGTGTGAAACTGAAGACCTACTGAATCGATTCCGGTAAATGACTTTAATCCAGTATCTTTCTTTGAAATTTCAGTTCTCTAGGGACGCTGACCTACCTCCATAACCAAAAATCATAACAAAGGTTTGTTTCATAATCAACACAATGAATAAGAGGCCATATCCGGTCCACGTGAATCCCCATGAGAATTCTTCTGGTTCCGGTTGCGCTTCTGAGGAGCTTACAGGCTGACGTCGGCACGGCACTTCTCCTGGTCGTAAACATATTTAGAGGTGATACGCGTATTTCAGCTATGTATAGTAATCCCTAGCTAAAATCCCAAATCTAGTCCCAAAGCCTTTCCATCCTAATCCCTAATCCATGATGTGCTGATTTAATCCTACAATTTGTGAACTTCATCTAAGACAGCACCAATGTGATGGCAACGAACGTCCCTACAGTTTCCCCGAGAACAAATTAGCACTGGCCTTAAGGCATGTCGATCTCGTCGCAGTCGTCCACAGATTCTGGTTGTGCCAGTTGGGCCTCTGATGGAACGGGATTGGAACTAGAGGGTCCACCAGAAGTAGAGGGTCCATCGCTTCCGCGTGCAGGAGCAGCTGCGTCACGCGTTTGGAGCTTCCGCAAGCTCAACATAGGCGATTGAACCTTGCGCAGAAATCCAGTGGACGTTCTTGCAGGAGTTGTCATTTTGTTGTAGCACCAGTATGAACTAAAGTATAGAGTCCATGATGTCTAGAAATTTCGCCAACCAGTAGAACTGGGTATGTGTCATTTCATCATGGTGCCTCTTGTATAGCATTGCGCATCTAGGTATGAGGCCAGTCAGTGAAGAAACAAAGTCGTGGTTGCTCGATCTTTTACGTCTAACAAAGCTCCGTTTGACTTCTTGCGCATACACTCTGTTCTTTTCACGAGTCACTACTTCTCTCGACCGGCAAGATATCTTACCCTGTGTTCCTCCGCACCGCGCACACGGAAAAGGTTTTTTGTGCTCTGACGTAAAAGCCAGATCTGAAAAGGTTTTGCTTTTGCTTGTCGACAAACGAAAGTTATGAGTGAAGCGTTTCTGTCTCCTTGACAGTCTCAGCACCCTCCTATGCATCTGTATCATGGGAATCGAAATGTTGTTATTATCTATCATCATCATCATCATCCTCTCCCACACTTCCTTCCCCGAAACCTACTGCCATTGGCAAAACGTCATGATTTACTCCATTATTCAATAAGCTTTAGACTCTGCACATCGTAACAACTTTGTTCTTCGGTGCTCTCCATCTTCTTATATTATAATTTAAACAGCGATAAGTAATTCATTAAATTAAACAGCGGGGAAAATTTGTCAGGGAAATCTTAGGCAGGTTGCCGAGTAGATTCGAGTCATCAATTCATTAAATGAAAATGAATAGAGGACCTATTTAGTCTTAATAGACATCCATCCTAAATCGAAGCCCCATTGTCCCTCATCATTACCCAAAGCCGCTTGACTCATTACCCAAAGCCTCCCTCATCATCCACCCAAAACCGCTTGGCTCATCCACCCAAAACCGCTTGACTCAATCGCCCTGGCTCTTTGAAGTACGCAGCGAGGGAATCCGGTGAGGCGGCATCATCTAAAGCTTCTAGCTTGCGTCGGATTAATTAGAGCCCTTCATTTCTTCGGAATCCTAAGGACGAAAACGAGGAACATGTTGACCACTGGATGAAGCGAATTGTTGCATCGAGCCTTAAATCAACGCGTTGGTTAGTTTCTGGATCTTGATATGCAACTCTAAAACGTGCTCCAATGCGGCTCCGTTCTGGCCAGGACAAGCCGCGGAGATGTCCAAAGTTAGAAGGATGAGATGTTGGGGCCATTGGCTCTACTTGTGCAAGAACTGCAACGAATACGGATAGGATAGGATAGGAAATGATTCGCCGTCCACAGTGTGACCTGCATCATCTTCATCTTCATCTTGTAAATACATAGTAATGCTGTCCTATACTAGAGTGATGAATCGGACACGCTCTACAACAGAGTGTGTGGTAAATCGGAAATCAGGTTGTTCTTATCTATCAAAGAACAGCCACCGGACAAAATCGAGCACAAGTTCTTCTCAAAACAGCTTCAACATCTACATCAACTCCTTAAGTTTATATACATGTTGGCCTTGTCGTTCGATCATGACATAATTTCAAAGCCGATCCTGTGTCTGCCAAGCTGCGCTGAGACGTCTGTAGAACCTCCATCAATCCAGTAAATGACTTTAATCCAGTATCTTTCTGAGAAGCTGGTGCTGCACCAGAGGATGGATTAGAAGTTCGTAGTCTAAGATATCTCAATCTTTACGATGGTGCCGCTTATTTTTCTGTATCGCAATGTAAGATGACACACCAAAGTAAGATGACACACCAGTCTTCTTAACCAAGAAGATGATGAGCCAACACACTAGCAATTAGTGTTGTCCTAAAAAACTAGACGACGACCTATTTCCTTTGTTGTTTCGTCTGAAACCCGTTCAACATCTATAATTATTTAATTGTTGCGCTATTCTCGACTAAGACTATTCATCGTTTAAATCTATAATTCTCGCGTTCCTGACAAGGAACGCCATTACCATTGCTTCTAGAGGAAGACCAAAATGCTTCGTTCTTCCTGTTTTGTTTCATAAAGCCCGCTGTCGTTGCTTCTGTCTTTTGTAAGGCTAGGGCAAAAGCATGTGACTCGTGGACATCAACCATGCTGCTCCCCGCCACGTTGACGCCTTTCCGCAGGGCGCGGGCCTCTTCCCCAGCTTCCTCAAGTCCGCCACCACCTGAAGCTAGGCCGACCAACAGTTGCTCTCGGTTCATCAGGTCGCTTGATTAGAGAGTTTTGCTACAACGACCCTAGGTAATTAGGCGTGGGCCTCCAAAAAAGAACCTTCGAGGACAAAATGAAAAATAACAAGCTAATCCTTCCTCGTTAATCCACTTTGTAAGGTGTCTCTCGCACCATTCCAGAGTCAAAGGCCACTATGATGCGTCAGGGGATGCCAGAAGAAGTCACCGTTCGTCCAGAGTTGACGGATCCAGAGTGGTCCTAGTATTTCTTCGTTATCTTGTGCTTCTAGAGCCCTAACTAGGAAAGTGATATGCGTTGGCACTAAACTATGTCTCTCTAGTACTCTACTCATGATTGGGAAAGGAAAACTACTTGGGGTAAGAAGTACTAGTAGTACTCCCGCAGTGTCTTTGATCATCATAATCTAGAGCAAATTGAGGAAAATGAACAAAAAAGGAAACTATGACCACGTATAGAGGAGACTCATAACGCAGCAATCCCCTACTTTGCGCGAGAGTCGCTTCGTCACTGACTAAATTAGCGCTCACCCTAATCCATCGCGAGACTCATCCCGGACCTACTTATATCCCCTTATGGGAGGACAGCCTCGCGATGCTTCCGGAGATGGACTAGCCGAGACCTTAACTAACCGTGATTCTAATTCTGATTGTCGCGTCAAGTGCCCAATCCGGGTCCGCCTGTTTGTATCTTGGAAATTCTGCAAGTCGCGCATCTGCGTCGAAACTTGCCTACCTGCTATTTCTCTTTCTCCTGCTTTAGAGCCGCCCGCCCTGGACGATGAGTAACTATGTACTTATGAGGAACCATGTAACAAGGAACAGCGAATTATTATGCGTAGTATTGGTACTGTCTCACTAGATGCAAGTATGTATCCCCCGTCATCATCATCAAACCTTATTAACTTCTATCCACCGGCCTGATAGGCACCGTCGTCGTAATTTCTGCTTTTGAACTGTCACCACCGACCTGGATATTTTGAGCTTGGACTTCCAACTGGTCGCCGTGCTCTAGCAGCATTGCCATCTTCTGCTCACTCAACGTCAATTCCCTTCCAATCTGCGCGATCTCGACTGGAGATTAGAATGATGAGGATGATGATGATGTTGACCGAGGAAGACCAAAGAATGAAAAATAGAAGCAGATATCACTCGTTGTACTACGAGGGCCCTTTAGAAGGCTGTGGTACAAGAACTGGTCTGATCTCAACTGGAGATCGGAAGTTGCTCGTTGCACTAGTAGAAGTCTGTGGCATTAATATTACCGTAGGTACTAGCAGTGGTGGGGTTATCTATTACTTTGGCATTGGCTTGCCGTTTCACTGGTACAACTAGACGGGTCAAATCCATTAGGCCTAGGCGCTCTGTTCCATTCCTATCTTTCTTTCATATCCCACAAATCGATGTAGTTCGTCCTTCAAGTTCAACAACAGAAATAAATTGGAAGGATGGACTAAAAAGTCAGTAAGCTAGGATGGATTTATGAAAGAAAAAGAAGATTTCACCTTCAAGGTCGACGTCGACGTCGACAAGCTCAACATTTCTCTTATAAACAATCTGGACAGAGCCATAATTGACTTTAACCGTCTCCGATTGTGTCTGCGAAATGACCTTTCGTGCTTTGTCAATCTGTTTCCGCACTTCTGTGATCATATCACGGATGACCACGTTATCATTCGCCACAGAGACAGAACTAGACGAAGCCCCTTCCACGCCAGTACTGATATCTATAGAGCTTCCCGTTGCTTCCCCAAACTTTTTCGCCATAATACCTTTTTTTCCTAGTCGGATTCGGTTGCTAAGGGCGGTTTGTCTTCGCATTTTAGAGGAGACGAGGAAACGAGTTTCAGATTCTTGGAACGCCTACGAAGACGCAAGTGTCATTAACCGAGTATTCTTCTAGTACTTCTGGTTATAAATAAACTCAAAAAAGACAACAAATCATAGAAGAAGACTGTTAGTTGGGCTTCGTCTGTTGGCTTCCACCTAAAAACATATCGATCCAAGTCCAAGATTCAACTCGCGAGCCCTAAGTTTTAACGTGACACCGCGTGAGGCCATTTCTTCGACGACGTCTTCCTCTCGTTAGCGCTACCGATGTGCATCCTTGAGACCATCCCTGGACCCGTTTTCTCCTTGAAAATGAGGCCAGGGATGCCGTCGTCCCTGTAAGTAGCAATAAACAGTAAGGAACGAATGGACCTACCGAGCATAGAGCCTATAATCTAGTCACATGCTCCTCTCACTGGTACTTGCGCCAGCTATGCTTATCATGGTAGTTGCCTTAATCTCGTAGGGTGCCGCTGATACCTGTGCTCGAGTTCAAAGCCAAGCAATCTAGTGCAAGACCCTTCTTTGTGAGGTCGACATCCAGCGAGATTTCGACAGGGACGAAGGCGTTGCGGCTACCATAGAGCACAGCGGCTATCTAGCATTGGTTTGGGGAAATCAACGGAATCAATGTGAAGAGTTGTCGTGTAATATCGAGAGGTATTATATCGAAAGGATATCTTGTTTGCTGGAGTGAGAATTTACATGCGTCATTCCTTCTTTTTACAGATTGGAAGATCCAAATCAGAGGGAGATCCGGGTCCTACAGCATTGGAGGGAAGTCTATAGCATCGGAGGGAGATCCAGGTCCTGTACCTCTCCCCAGATGAAGATTTTCCCACTCGCAGTTCGACAGGAACTACTCCTCTCTGTGGCTGCGATATGGTGGACTGGTTCGTCTAGGGGGATGCGTTCTGGAACCTTCATAACCAGACTCGCACGCTCGAATGCTGCAAGCGGGTGACCTAAGTGTTTAGCGCTACATGATCAATCAATCCTACAAATTAATATAGCACATTATCCTACTTATAAGCATGTAGACCCTAGAATTTCACGAAATGTAGTGAGATTACGCAACATCCTATATTTATAAATGTAGTGGTTAAGGTTGTATCCTCTGATAATGGTAATTTGGTAACTCAATATAGTGGAGGGACTACTTTTAGGAGAGACACCTCGCTTCCCAGTCAACATAGAAGTACACGCCTCACCCACTCGAGTTCTTTCCCCTTTAAGAAATCAAAGGAGGAGGGACCTCCCCATTCTCTCAGCATAGAGGGACTCCACAGCATGGCCATGGGACGATAGTGAAATAAAGCTTTTGCCATAAATTGTCCTGCCTTGCCGAAGCCCCAAGAGTAGATGTCGCCCGTATCAGTTAAGGCTAACGAGTGATCTGTGCCACAAGCAACTTGGACGCATGGCGCAGGTTAGAAGATGCTCTGAAGAAACTCTCTCATAAACGACCTGGGAAGGACTGTCTCAAGGTCTTCAAGGTATGAGTCAAACTCGAGCAGAAGTGAGTTCATAAACAGATCGAAGAGAAGCAAGCACATATTTAAATTGTTGAAGAGTGAAGCAAGTAATTGTCTGACATATACTAGTACTCCTATGAAGGTACTACTTCTCCTCAACACTCATAATGAAGTTTTCCACTAGAGTCTCGTATCGAGACGAGTCCTGGTTGGCAGTCGAATGCTGCTTCCATGCCGCCACTAGGTCTGCCTAGCTTCTCCACGTGGCCCCAACTGTAATTAGAAAAGCCCATTTCATCGAAGGAATATAACCTCTCCAATCAGGAGGCTCTAATCCGAATAGCTCCTTTCTGCACCAAGTGCGGAACTAGACGCAGCGCCGTCGAAGTGTTCCCATAGTGCTTCGTCATAAGATATATATCCAAATCTACGTGGAGAAATAGAAGTTTCCTTTGAAAGGCACCGAAGGATGGACTAGGGGATTGATCCTTAATGTAAACGAAGCCGTCCTCGCCCACCATAGCAACATGGCTCCGACCACAGCCTATCGCGGCAACTAGTGGAGCACTGGTGCTAGACATGGTGTTGCTTTTGTTTCAGACTATCCTCTGATCGACATGTACTTGGTAAGTAACTTCCTGAGATCCACATGTGGTTGGTAATTCCCAAAGTGTCTCATTTTCTCACGTGTTCGTCATATTACTGATTTTTTTGTACAGATGACGCGCATTTCGCCCCTTCCCGTTTCTTTATACTGAGGAGGAAGAGTCGTATTTGTATTGCATTATCATCAACATCATCATGGTCAAGAACGCAGTCGCTGCACCTAACGGCTACAGGCTTTTTGGCCAGTCTATCGCTTTACCAAACAAGCGCACGCAGACCATGACTGCCTCTGCTGCCGGTGCTGACCTCTGACCCAAGTTAGAACGAAACTGCTTTCGTCTGGGAGAGTCCCTGTAAGTGAATCGACTCAATAAGAGAATGAAGCGAGCGGATGAAACCAAACTTTTGCATCGCAGTTCGACTTTCGTCTTTGAAAGAAGCGTACGCAGTTCACTGCAGAATGTGGCACTCCAACAAGTCCTAATTTCGCATATTTGTCAAAGAGTGAGCTCTTCAAAAATTGACATCAATACACTTCAGTTTTTCGGAATGCAGGAAACGGGAGGCTTTTCAATCCATGAAAGTAACTTCTTTCCCAGCTACATCGTAGGAGTAGGCGTAGTAGTAGTGTGCCCAGTCTAGTTGGTGTCCCCAGTCTAGTTAGTGTCCCCAGTCTAGTGCGCCCAAGCATCACCCTCATCGATTATAAACATTTGCTTCAACACACAGCCCTACTCCTACCATGAAGTAAGAAATCACTACGACCATGTGGAAGGCTATAATAAAGAGTGAAGAATTAGACGGTGATTAATTAAAGACAGAGAACTAGCCCTGTAAGGCTATAGTAAATACAGATGCCAGGCGGAGACTGTTCAATGTCGTGCACAGAAAAGAAAACGATGCTACATCTAGCTCCTTCGGACCTTAGAGCTTCTTCTAACAAACGACCCTAACATCCAAAAAGATCCACTCAAGAAATGTCCACCTACTTTTCTCCCTGTTCATTATAATCGCGTTATGATCAACATCAAAGACAAGAAAAGGCTCCAAATAAACAAAAGATTCAAAAACTACAATCTTTCTAATCAAAATCAATTGCTTATATACATTAACGAAAGGCTCAGAATCACCCCCATGTCTCCAATACAAAGACAAAAATTCTTTGAAAAGTCCCCTGATATATAATGCCCCAAAAGTATGTTTCTAAATATTGCCAAAAGGAGGCGCGACTTTCAACGACTTGTTTAAGTGACAGGGTGTCTCAACTGCTCTCATACATTCCTCTCTTGCGGACCGTCGTATGCACGTAAGTACATCTCCCACAAACAGCGACCATGCAAGGTGCCACAAAGGAGCATCAGCCTGTTACCAAGCAAATGCCGGCCGGATCGAAGCTAAACCATCGAGATCGGCGCGCGGCATGATGAAGCCTCCTGCCGGGAAGGCCAGCGTCGGCTGTATCTCTAGTCCTTCACCACAAGAAGTTTCGAGGACAGTGGCATCCAGGAGAAGTGGCATCATAGCCTAGGAGACCGATCATAGTCTCGGAGACCACTAGAAGCAGGAATGCTGCCTTTTGTAACGTCGGGAGTACTCTTGCCCGTGGAGGTCTTGTCCTTCACCAACATGCAGATCCCTGCCCAGTGGATCAGTGAGATAGAGGAGTAGTGTGGATCAGTGAGATAGAGGAGTAGAGTGGATCAGTGAGATAGAGGAGTAGTGTGGATCAGTGAGATAGAGGAGTAGCGCAGGTTTCAGAGCTAGATGCTTCATGAGAGTGACTAAGAAGTAGCCTGGGTGAGTTTATTAGAAACAGTATCGTCGAATAGTCCATCAACACTTCAGATGAGTACCAACTGGCTCCACCGCACTTGTGGTTGGTGGTCATGACGGCGGTGATGCGACGCCCCCACCCACTTTCTCGACCGTACTTGTGGATGGTGGTGACGGTAGCGGTGAGGCTGTTTCGCCTACGTCAGATGCTCATGGTGATAATGATCCTGCGTCGCGTCCCTGGCTATTGCCTGAGAGTGTCGGCACAGATTCCGGAGTCTTGACTACGTTCTTGTCCTTCATCAACATCATTTACCTGGGTGAATCAGTGAGATAGAGGAGTAGTGCAGGTTTCAGAGCTAGAAGCTTGATGAGAGTGACTAAGAAGTAGACTGAGTGAGTTTATTAGAAACAGTATCGTCGAATAGTCCATCTAAACTTCAGATGAGTACCAACCGGCTCCACCACACGTGTGGCTGGTGGTCATGACGGCGGTGATGCGACGTCTCCATCCACTTGTTCGACCGTGCTTGTGGATGGTGGTGACGGTGGCGGTGAGGCTGCTTCGCCTACGTCAGGTGGTCATGGTGATAAGGATCCTGCGTCCCGTCCCTGGCTATTGCCTGAGGGTGTCGGCACAGATTCCGGAGTCTTGTCTACGTTCTTGTACTTCATCAACGTCGACTTACCTGGGTGAATCAGTGAGATAGAGGAGTAGTGCAGGTTTCGGAGTTAGAAGCTTGATGAGAGTGACTAAGAAGTAGACTGAGTGAGATTATTAGAAACAGTATCGGCGAAGAGTCCAACTAAACTGCAGAGTACCAGCTGGCTCCACCGCACTTGTGGTTGGTGGTCATGACGGCGGTGATGCGACGTCTCCATCCACGTTCTCGACCATGCTTGTGGATGGTGGTGACGGTGGCGGTGAGGCTGCTTCGCCTACGTCAGGTGGTCATGGTGATAAGGATCCTGCGTCCCGTCCCTCGCTATTGCCTGAGAGTGTCGGCACAGATTCCGGAGTCTTGTCTACGTTCGTGTCCTTCATCAACGTCGACTTACCTGGGTGAATCAGTGAGATAGAGGAGTAGTGCAGGTTTTAGAGTTAGAAGCTTGATGAGAGTGACTAAGAAGTAGACTGAGTGAGATTATTAGAAACAGGATCGTCGAATAGTCCATCTAAACTGCAGAGTACCAACCGGCTCCACCACACGTGTGGTTGGTGGTCATGACGGCGGTTATGCGACGTCTCCATCCACTTTCTCGACCGTGCTTGTGGATGGTGGTGACGGTGAGGCTGCTTCGCCTACGTCGGATGATGGAAATGGTGATGGTGGTGCTGCTCAGCATTTTTTCGGTGCTCCTCCTGGTGGCCGTGTGGCCTCAGATGCAGCTTGTTAGAGGGGATCAAGGGAAAACCTGCTACATGTGAAAAAATCTAAAAAACATTGTCGCCGTAAAGTTTCGAAGAGACTTCATTTGCTAAATCCTTGTCCGAAAGATGATTGACAGTCCTCAGCCACAGTAACTGAAGACAAATAGAAGGGGCCGTAAGTGTGTGCATCCTTATCCAATTTGCCAGCAGCCAGCGTCGCCTCTTTTGGAGCGGAGCAAACACAAAGAGCATTCAAACATATCAGAATATCGGAGGAGTAATCATATGAGAGCAGAAACATATCAGAAAAAGTGATCCTAAGTAAGCCCTTAACATGCTCATCTGAGCCACGCGACGCTCTCTTAATTTCCTGCTCCCCCCATGCTGTCTTCCACTTTGGCCTTCTTTTTTTCCACCGTACGCTGGAAGAATCGCAGGCCCACTTCACGAATATCCACTCCAGATACGCGCCAAGCAAGAAGTTGGAGAGACCCGCTCTCCTGCACCGGACGACTCCATGTATACACACCTACGCCGTGACGTCGGTGATGACGATGGTGCGACCCCGAGTGCTTTTGACACGCAGGAGCTAGAACAGGAGTCCGATCGACGAAACCATCTTGACTGTAGTTATCGCGTCACCTCCTACAGAAGGACACTGAAATGATTTCTAGTCGGAGCCGACTCCAAAACTCCGTCTCAATCCCAAAGAGTTACGTCTAAATCTAAAACTACGACACGTCTACGGTCTACCTTTCCTCTAAAACTACACGAAAGACTACGGCTAACGCCAAAGGCCGCCTAAGTCTGAAACGGGGGCTAAGTCTAAACCTAAGCGCGAGCCTAAAAAAAGCCGGAATAAGTGAGCCCAAATGCGCTCCATTGTGAAACTTGACCCAAGTCCCCACGGAAATCCGAAGGCTTCTGATCCATTTCCGCAGCGCCAGCGCCCTACTTAGCTAACTACTTAAGTAAGCACAAAGACGAAGAACGACCAAGACACAACAAGAACAACACAAGACCGACGGAACAAGGACGGCACGGCGTCCATTCTCTTTCCTCATGCAGGTTTAGCGTATGCGGCCTCGGTGGCATCACGTGAGACGAGCCGAGAGGGTCTAAGATAGACCCAAGCCGAGGCCGGCTTAGCGTGGTCTATTACATTCATACGCCAGCCACTCTTGAACCAAATAAATCACTTCCGCTCTCGCTCAAGTCTCTAAGTTGCTGACCAAGAAAGTAAGGAAGTAAATAAGTGCCAAACAGTTACACCGCTACAGTCTTCGCATAGAAATACCACCGAAAGAGTCCACTTGTCAAAGCACACAAGAGCAAGAAAATGGCAAGCGAAGGCCAACACGGTGGAGCCGAAAACACATCGCACGCGGGTGGCGTTTTCAGCGAAGGAGAAAATCCACACGGTGGAGGTGGATACCACGAAGGCGCGCCAGGCGTTGTGCCGGGAGCAGGTGCAGGCGATGGAACTGCAGACGAGGGAGGCCAGTAGAATGTCCGCCAGGGTTGGACCGGATGGGATCTGGAGCAGAGCACGGGCAGGCCAGGCTGGCCCCAATAAAACTGCGGCGCTGTGGGCTCAGGCGGTTCAGTTCCCAGCCCGGAATCCTGGGGCGGTGGTTTTCAACAACAGCCGCAGCCCCAAACGCAGCAGGCCGACCTTGGTGCCGCAGTGCTGCAATTGGCGAACAACACGGCGACGACACAGCAGCAAGCAGAGCCTGTGACGCATCTCCAGCAGCAACAGCAGGCGACGCAAGCTAACCAGGAGCGAGAAGCCAGAGCGCTTGCTACCATGCAGGAGAGTCACCACGCTGAACTGCGTAGAGCACGCGAGAACGACGCGGAGAAAGCGATAAGCCAGACAAACCAAAGCAAGACGACCGCGAAGACGTCAAACGAGCACGCAAATGCTGCAGCAAGTGGCGAAGTTTACCGGTTCACGCGGAGACTCTTCCGCCAAGGGTTCTGACTGCTC